GCTCATGCACGCTGTCAAGGAGGTCTTCAAGGTATGGCCTGGCCTGGGGACACCACGGCAGCTGGCCCTGAGTGTCCTTGAGTGTCCTTAAGTGTCCCTGCCTGTCCCTGTGTGTCACTTAGTGTCCCTAAATGTTCCTATGTGTCACTTAGTGTCCCTAAATGTCCCTGTGTGTTCCTCTGTGTCCCTAAATGTCCCTGTGAGTTCATCCGTGTCCCTGTGTGTCCCTGCAAGTCCCTGTGTGTCACTGAGTGTCCCTAAATGTCCCTGTGTGTTCCTCTGTGTCCCTAAATGTCCCTAAATGCCCCTGTGTGTCCCTGAGTGTCCCTAAATGTCCCTGCCTGTCCCTATGTGTCACTTAGTGTCCCTAAATGTCCCTGTGTGTCCCTAAATGTCCCTCTGTATTCCTGAGTGGCCCTAAATGTCCCTGCAAGTCCCTGTGTGTCACTTAGTGTCCCTAAATGTCCCTAAATGCCCCTGTGTGTCCCTGAGTGTCCCTCAATGTTCCTGAGTATCCCCGAGTGTCCCTAAGTGTCCCTGCCTGTCCCTATGTGTCACTTAGTGTCCCTAAATGTCCCTCTGTATTCCTGTGTGTCCCTGAGTGTCCCTGTGTGTCTCTGAGTGTCCCCAAATGTCCCTAAATGTTCCTGTGTGTCACTTAGTGTCCCTAAATGTCCCTCTGTATTCCTGAGTGTCCCTGTGTGTCCCTGAGTGTCCCTGTGTGTCTCTGAGTGTCCCCAAATGTCCCTCTGTGTCACTTAGTGTCCTTGAGCATCCCTAAATGTCCCTGCTTGTCCCTGTGTCCCCCTGAGCATCCCTAAGTGTCCCTGGTGTCCCTCTCTGTCCCTGTGTCACTTAGTGTCCCTGAGCATCCCTAAATGTCCCTAAGTGTCCCTAAATGTCCCTGTGTGTCCCTGAATGTCCCTAAGTGTCCCNTCCAGGGGGTCCTCAGAGTCCCCCCAAAGGAATCCAGGGGGTCCTCAGAGTCCCCCCAAAGGAATCCAGGGGGTCCTCAGAGTGCCCTAAAGGGATCCAGGGAATCCTCAGAGTCCCCAAAGGGCTCCAGGGGGTCCTCAGAGTCCTAAAGGGCTCCAAGGGGTCCTCAGAGTCACCAAAGGGATCCAGGGGGTCCTCAGAGTCCCCAAAGGGGCTCCAGGGGGTCCCCCTAAAGGGGCTCCAGGGGGTCCTCAGACTTCTAAAGGGGCTCCAGGGGGTCCTCAGAGTCCCCTAAAGGGATCCAGGGGGTCCTCAGTGTCCCCAAAAGGATCCAGGGGGTCCTCAGAGTCCCCTAAAGGGATCCAGGGGGTCCTCAGAGTTCTAAAGGGGCTCCAGGGGGTTCCCCTAAAGGGGCTCCAGGGATCCTCAGAGTCCCCAAAGGGCTCCAGGGGGTCCTCAGAGTCCCCAAAGGAATCCAGGGGGTCCTCAGAGTTCTAAAGGGATCCAGGGGGTCCTCAGAGTGTCCCAAAGGGGCTCCAAGGGGTCCTCAGAGTCCCCTAAAGGGCTCCAGGGGGTCCTCAGAGTCCTAAAGGGGCTCCAGGGGGTCCTCACAGTCCCCAAAAGGGGCTCCATGGGGTCCCCCCAAAGGGCTCCAGGGGGTCCTCAGAGTGTCCTAAAGGGCTCCAGGGGGTTCCCCTAAAGGGCTCCAAGGGGTCCTCAGAGTCCCCAAAAGGAATCCAGGGGGTCCCCCTAAAGGGGCTCCAGGGAATCCTCAGAGTCCTAAAGGGGCTCCAGGGGGTCCTCAGAGTCCCCAAAGGGCTCCAGGGAATCCTCAGAGTCCCCCAAAGGGCTCCAGGGGGTCCCCCTAAAGGGGCTCCAGGGGGTCCTCAGAGTCCCCTAAAGGGCTCCAGGGGGTCCTCAGAGTCCCCAAAGGAATCCAGGGGGTCCTCAGAGTCCCCCAAAGGGCTCCAGGGGGTCCCCCTAAAGGGGCTCCAGGGGGTCCTCAGAGTCCCCTAAAGGGGCTCCAGGGGGTCCTCAGAGTCCCTTAAAGGGGATCCAGGGGGTCCTCAGAGTCCCCAAAGGGCTCCAGGGGTTCCTCAGAGTCCCCAAAGGGCTCCAGGGGGTCCTCAGAGTCCCCAAAGGGCTCCAGAGGGTCCTCAGAGTCCCCAAAGGGCTCCAGGAGAGCTGGAGAGGAAAGGGAAAAAAAGAGGAAAAAATGGAAAAAGGAATGGTTGGGTTTTAGGGATAGGGATCAGGGATTGTAAAAAAAGGGGACAGGAGCCAGGGAGTGGCTCCAGGTAGGAAAAGTGGAAATTGGGCTGGGATCTTGGCAAGGAATTGCTGGCTGGAATGGAATTCCCAGATTTGCTGGGGCTGCCCCTGGATCCCTGGAAGTGTCCAAGCCAGGCTGGATCCATCTGGGATAGTGGGAGCTGTCCCTGCCCATGGATGGGGTGGGAATGGATGGGATTTAAGATTTTTCCAACCCAAACCATTCCAGAATTGTGGAGCCCCTCTGCTCTGGCAGAGCTGGGAATGTTCCCCTGGAGAAGGGAAAATTCCAGGGAATGCTCAGAGTCCCTGAGGGGCTCCAGGAGAGCTGGAGAGGGACTGGGGACAAGGCCTGCAGGGACAGGACACAGAGAATGGCTCCAAGTAGGAAAAGTGGAAATTGGGCTGGGATCTTGGCAAGGAATTCCTGGCTGGAATGGAATTCCCAGATTTGCTGGATCCCTGGCAGTGCCCAGGGCCAGGCTGGATGGATCTGGATCCACCAGGGATGATGGGATGGGATGAGCTCCAAGGTCTCTCCATGATTCCCTGCTCAGCACCCTCAGGTCCTGCCTGGAATTTGGGAATATTTGGGGACAGGAACACACCCAGCCCCCGGGGACATTGGGGACAATGGGGACAGTGCCTGGCAAAGGGACAGTGACACACGGATTGTCCTGGGTGAACCCTGGCCTGAGTGGAGACACCCGTGGGAGGAGAGCTGGGCAGAGATTAAAACAAATTAATAACTGAAACAAAATTATGATGATGAAACAATTCAGTAATTGAAACGAAATTATGGTGATTAGAAAAATTCAGTAATTGAAGCAAAATCATGATGATGAGAATAATTTAATAATTGAAACAAACTGGTGATGATGAGAATAATTTAATAATTGAAACGAAATTGTTATGATGAGAGTGATTTAATAATTGAAACAAAATTATGATTATTAGTAAATTCAATAATTGAAACGAAATGGTGATGATGAGAACAATTCAATAATTGAAACGAAATTATGGTGATTAGAAAAATTCAATCATTGAAACAAAGTGATGATGATGAGAACAATTCAGTAATTGAAACAAAATTATGGTGATTAGAAAAATTCAATAATTGAAACAAAATCGTGATGATGAGAATAATTTAATAATTGAAACGAATTTGGTGATTAGAAAAATTCAATAANAAATTCAATAATTGAAACAAAATCGTGATGATGAGAATAATTTAATAATTGAAACGAATTTGGTGATTAGAAAAATTCAATAATTGAAACAAAATGGTGATGATGAGAATAATTTAATAATTTAATAATTTAAACGAAATTATGATGATTAGAAAAATTCAGTAATTGAAGCAAAATGGTGATGATTAGAAAAATTCAATAATTGAAACAAAATGGTGATGATGAGAATAATGCAATAATTGAAAAAAATTATGGTGATGATTAGAACAATTCAATAATTGAAACAAAGTGATGATGATGAGAACAATTCAATAATTGAAACAAAATGGCGATGATGAGAATAATTTAATAATTGAAACGAAATTATGATGATTAGAAAACTTCAATAATTGAAGCAAAATGGTGATGGTTAGAATAATGCAATAATTGAAAAAAATTATGGTGATTAGAAAAATTCAATAATTGAAACGAAATGGTGATGAGAGTAATTTAATAATTGAAACAAAATTATGGTGATCAGAAAAATTCAATAATTGAAACAAAATGGCGATGATGAGAAAAATTCAATAATTGAAACGAAATGGTGATGATGAGAATAATTTAATAATTGAAACAAAATGGTGATGATTAGAAAAATTCAATAATTGAAACAAAATGGTGATTAGAAAAATTCAATAATTGAAACAAAATGGTGATGATGAGAGTGATTTAATAATTGAAACAAATTTATGATGATTAGAAAAATTCAATAATTGAAATAAAGTGATGATGAGAGTAATTCAATAATTAAATCAGAGTGGTGATGATGATGAGAACAATTCAATAATTGAAACAAAGGGATGATGATAACAATTCAATAACTGAAACAAAATGGTGATGATGAGAGTGATTTAATAATTGAAACAAAATTATGATGATTAGAAAAATTCAGTAATTGAAGCAAAATGGTGATGATTAGAATAATGCAATAATTGAAAAAAGTTATGGTGATGATGAGAAGAATTCAGTAATTGAAACAAAGTGATGATGATGAGAACAATTCAATAATTGAAACGAAATTATGGTGATTAGAAAAATTCAGTAATTGAAACAAAATGGTGATGATGAGAATAATTTAATAATTTAAACGAAATTGGTGATTAGAAAAATTCAAAAATTGAAACAAAATGGTGATGATGAGAACAATTCAATAATTGAAACAAAATGGTGATGATTAGAATAATGCAATAATTGAAAAAAATTATGGTGATGATTAGAACAATTCAATAATTGAAACGAAATTATGATGATTAGAAAAATTCAATAATTGAAACAAAGTGATGATGAGAACAATTCAATAATTGAAACAAAATGGTGATGATGAGAAAAATTTAATAATTGAAACAAAATGGTGATGATGAGAAAAATTTAATAATTGAAACAAAATGGTGATGATCAGAGTAATTCAATAATTAAATCAGAGTGGTGATGATGATGAGAACAACTCAATAATTGAAACAAGATGATGATGATAATTCAGTAATTGAAACAAAGTGGTGATGATTACAAAAATTTAATAATTGAAACAAAATTATGATAACGATAAGGACAATTCAATAATTGAAAAAAATTATAATGATGATGATAACAATTCAATAATTCAAACAAAATGATNAGACCCGGCACAACAACCTGGACCTGGTGATCATCCGCGAGCAGACCGAGGGCGAGTACAGCTCCCTGGAGCACGAGGTGGGGCATGGGCACAGCCTGGCACAGCTGGCAGTGCCACCTGGCGTGGGGACAGCTCCAGGGGGTCCTCAGAGTCCCCAAGGGGCTCCAGGTGTTCCTCAGAGTGTCCTAAAGGGATCCAGGGGGTCCTCAGAGTCCCCAAAGGGCTCCAGGGGGTCCTCAGAGTCCTAAAGGGCTCCAGGGAATCCTCAGAGTTCCCAAAGGGCTCCAAGGGGTCCTCAGAGTTCTAAAGGGATCCAGGGAATCCTCAGAGTCCCCCAAAGGGCTCCAGGGGGTCCCCCCAAAGGAGCTCCAGGGAATCCTCAGAGTCCCCAAAGGAATCCAGGGGGTCCTCAGAGTCCTAAAGGGCTCCAGGGGGTCCCCCCAAAGGGCTCCAGGGGGTCCTCAGAGTCCCCAAAAGGGCTCCAGGGGATCCCCTTAAAGGGGCTCCAGGGGGTCCTCAGAGTCCCCTAAAGGGGCTCCAGGGGGTCCTCAGAGTCCCCAAAGGGCTCCAGGGGGTCCTCAGAGTCCCCAAAGGGCTCCAGGGGGTCCCCCCAAAGGGCTCCAGGGGGTCCTCAGAGTCCTAAAGGGGCTCCAGGAGAGCTGGAGAGGAAAGGGAAAAAAAAGGGGAAAAAATGGAAAAAGGAATGGTTGGGTTTTAGTGATAGGGATAAGGGATTGTAAAAAAAGGAGACAGGAGCCAGGGAATGGCTCCCACTGGGAAAGGGGAGATTGGGCTGGGATCTTGGCAAGGAATTGCTGGCTGGAATGGAATTCCCAGAAAATTCCCAAGCCCTGGATCCCTGGCAGTGCCCAAGGCCAGGTTGGATCCATCTGGGATAGTGGGAGCTGTCCCTGCCCATGGATGGGATTTAAGATTTTTCCACCCCAAACCATTCCAGAATTGTGGAGCCCCTCTGCTCTGGCAGAGCTGGGAATGTTCCCCTGGAGAAGGGAAAATTCCAGGGAATCCTCAGAGTCCCTGCAGGAGCTCCAGGAGAGCTGGAGAGGGACTGGGGACAAGGCCTGCAGGGACAGGAGCCAGGGAATGGCTCCAAGTAGGAAAAGTGGAAATTGGGCTGGGATCTTGGCAAGGAATTGCTGGCTGGGCTGGAATTCCCATAAAATTCCCAAGCCCTGGATCCCTGGCAGTGCCCAGGCCAGGCTGGATGGATCTGGATCCACCAGGGGTGGTGGGATGGGATGAGCTCCAAGGTCTCTCCATGATTCCCTGCTCAGCACCCTCAGGTCCTGCCTGGAATTTGGGAATATTTGGGGACAGGAACACACCCAGCCCCCGGGGACATTGGGGACATTGGGGACAGTGCCTGGCAAAGGGACAGTGACACATGGATTGTCCTGCGTGAACCCTGGCCAGGATGGAAACACCCGTGGGAGGAGAGCTGGGCTGAGATTAAAACAAATTAATAACTGAAACAAAGTGATGATGATGAAACAATTCAATAATTGAAATGAAATTATGGTGATTAGAAAAATTCAATAATTAAAGTGATGATGATGAGAACAATAATCGAAACGAAATTATGATGATGAGAACAATTCAATAATTGAAACAAAGGGATGATGATAACAATTCAATAACTGAAACAAAATGGTGATGATGAGAATAATTTAATAATTGAAACGAAATTGGTGATGATGAGAACAATTCAGTAATTGAAACGAAATTATGGTGATTAGAAAAATTCAATAATTGAAACAAAATGGTGATGATGAGAACAATTCAATAATTGAAACGAAATTATGGTGATTAGAAAAATTCAATAATTGAAACAAAGTGGTGATAATGAGAATAATTTAATAATTGAAACAAAGTGGTGATTATTAGAATAATTTAATAACTGAAACAAAATGGTGATGATGAGAATAATGCAATAATTGAAACAAAATGGCGATGATGAGAATAATTTAATAATTGAAACGAAATTAGTGATTAGAAAAATTCAATAATTGAAGCAAAATGGTGATGATTAGAATAATGCAATAATTGAAAAAAGTTATGATGATGATGAGAACAATTCAATAATTGAAACGAAATTATGGTGATTAGAAAAATTCAATAATTGAAACAAAATGGCAATGATGAGAACAATTCAATAATTGAAACGAAATTGGTGATGATGAGAATAATTTAATAATTGAAACAAAATGGTGATGATGAAAGTAATTCAATAATTGAAACAAAATGGTGGTGATGAGAATAATTCAATAATTGAAACGAAATTATGATGATGATTAGAACAATTCAATAATTGAAACGAAATTGGTGATGATAAGAATAATTTAATAACTGAAACAAAATGGTGATGATTAGAATAATGCAATAATTGAAAAAAATTATGATGATGATGAGAAAAATTCAATAATTGAAACAAAATGGTGATGATGAGAAAAATTCAATAATTGAAACGAAATTATGGTGATTAGAAAAATTCAATAATTGAAACAAAATGGCGATGATGAGAACAATTCAATAATTGAAACAAAATGGGGATGGTGAGAATAATTTAATAATTGAAACAAAATGGTGATGGTGAGAACAATTCAGTAATTGAAACGAAATTATGGTGATTAGAAAAATTCAATAATTGAAACAAAGGGATGATGATAACAATTCAATAACCGAAACAAAATGGTGATCATGAGAGTGATTTAATAATTGAAACGAAATTATGATGATTAGAAAAATTCAGTAATTGAAACAAAATGGTGATGATGAGAACAATTCAATAATTGAAACGAAATTGGTGATTAGAAAAATTCAATAATTGAAACAAAATGGCGATGATGAGAATAATTTAATAATTGAAACAAAATGGTGATGATGAGAACAATTCAATAATTGAAGAAAAATGGTGATGATTAGAATAATGCAATAATTGAAAAAAATTATGGTGATGATTAGAACAATTCAATAATTGAAACAAAATGGTGATGATGAGAGTGATTTAATAATTGAAACAAAATTATGATGATTAGAAAAATTCAGTAATTGAAGCAAAATGGTGATGATGAGAAAAATTCAATAATTGAAACAAAATTATGGTGATTCGAAAAATTCAATCATTGAAACAAAATGATGATGATGAGAATAATTCAATAATCGAAACAAAATGGTGATGGTGAGAATAATTCAATAATTGAAACGAAATTATGATGATTAGAAAACTTCAATAATTGAAACAAAATGGTGATGATGAGAATAATTTAATAATTGAAACAAAATGGTGATGATGAGAGTAATTCAATAATTAAATCAGAGTGGTGGTGATGATGATGAGAAAAACTCAATAATTGAAACAAGATGATGATGATAATTCAGTAATTGAAACAAAGTGGTGATGATTACAAAAATTTAATAATTGAAACAAAATTATGATAACGATAAGGACAATTCAATAATTGAAAAAAATTATAATGATGATGATAACAATTCAATAATTGAAACAAAATTATTATGATGATAAC